TCTAAAGTGCAGATGAGATCTGATTTTCCTGCTTGTTCTGTTTTTGTTTACTCTTTCTCCTGTTACAGTACGAGTGAAGGGAGCTCGGCAGCCATGCTCAGCGCCATCTTGTTTATTCAGTCCACTCTGCATCCGCACCTCAGTCACACTCGCTGTGATCTCACTGTAACTTCAGTCTAGCAAATCTATAGACGGCCGTCGTACACTTCTACTCATATCTTGCATCATCTGGATATGTACATATCAGTATTCTGTCCCCGGCGTACCCTGCATCGCAGTTATCTACCTCGGACTCACTAACTGCACATACAGAAATGTGTACGACTGTACATATCATACTTATTTCATAACTTATATTACTGTACATTGGAAATACTATCAATACTAGCATATATTAGTATGTATATTGTGTATATGTGTATATATTTAGAGTCTAATGTGTGTGTATGTATTTATATATGGGTCATTCTACAGAAACTTCCATTTTGGTGTCCCTAGTGTTTACAGATATATTACACTTGAAAAACATGTTCGGGTTACGATTTAGTTATATTTTAAAATAAAACAATAAGTTATTCTAACAGTTACGCCTTCTTGAGCCTCAATTTAGCGATATTGGTTTTTAAATCAATCATCTAGAATTCCAGGCACCACAGAAGAGCTCGTCCTCACAGTCGTGTGTGAAGGCTGAGGCCATATTTTGAAGAAAAAAACATGTTTTCTGCTATTTTAACTACAATAATCTATACATGACTATGGATTATATGATTTAAAAGACATAAAGAAAACAAACGCCAAATAAATATTATAAAATATATAATGAAAGTTGTGGTCTCCAGGAGTCGTGTCACTGGAGTTACTGCGTAACAAAAAAGTCTCTTATTTTGAAATAAAAGTCACACTGATGACATCACTCGACTTCCTTTTACCTGTTTTCTGAGGATCTATGAAGAAAAGCTCATGGTGAGTCCACTGTGTCTTTCAGTTATCAGAGATTTTCTCATTCAGCTCATGATTTCGTATGAAGCTTTTAGCTGAAGTCACTGGTGTGACCGACTTTATTCTGAGGTAGTTGTGAAAAAATAGAATCCAAATGGATTAAATTCCATATTTTAGTGGACATTCCATGATTTACAACATGTGGTTTGATGCTCTGTAGCAGCCATTTTGTAAAATGCATTGTTCATTAAAACGTCTCTGGTGTCCCTTTATTATGTAACACCTGTGACTCCTGGATAGATGGAGAGATAGAAAAGTGGACGTTTCTGTAGAATGACCCATATATATATATATTTTGTATCTAAATTGTATGAGGGGGCTTCGCACCTATGATTTTCATTTTCACCCTCACACCTGTGTAACTGTGATGTGATTTGAGTCAACTAGCTCAGTTTGGACTCTTAAACCCCTTAACATTCCAGTCTTATTATTATTATTATTATTATTATTATTCATTAATAAAGGGACTCCAATGCAAACCAGTGGAGCTTCTCTTAGGTTATAGAAGTGTGTAATGAAACCTTGGGCTGCTGATGGGTCCATGGCTGGGTAAGGGGTTTAATCGGCCCGCGGTGAGAGAAGGCTGCTGGTTTGGGGAGCTCCAATCCGCTCACAGTGCATCCTGCAGGCGTCACACCTGACTTGTGCAGTGTTGATTTCTCCCTGTTCACGATTTGCTATTTAAAAAAAATCTGTGTGTGTTATGAATGACACAATCTTGACCAAGCTTATGCATTAGTTATGATAATAATAATAATAATGATAATAATAATGCAGTTACGCTAATGCATTTTACAGTTATGAGGGCACACTGAGGGAGGTCACCCCCATTTTGGGACGTCTGAATTTACCTTCTGTGCTGCCAGCTGTAAAAACATTGCCTGGTGTTTTTCGGTTTTATTGACTTTGCCGCTCCTGGATTTAAGTTGCGTCCGAAACGACTCGGCCAGGTCCAGCTGAGTTTTTTTACAGCCGCCGCAAAGTTGGAGCCGTTATCCGCTGCAGTGCAGGAGAGGCGACTTTCCTCCAGCTTCCACTCACAGAGCAGTTATTGTCACTCACGTGCGACTCTGGGAAGCAGCTGGTCTTCCGGTGTTTTGACTCTGATTTAGACTCTAAGCTGATGGAGTCTGCAGTAACAGACACACACGGCTGAATCTTAATGCTTAAAGCTAGTGTGAAATACTCAGCGTCAGTCATTTTTACCACAACGGGCAACTAAAGCTTAAAGTTTCCCAGTGTAAAACCAGCCTTAGGTGGTTCCAGAGATTCGAAGTGACCACGCTTTGTGATGCTACGTCAACACGTGACGTCAGTTTGATCCAGAGTGGATCCTGAAAGTCCGGCCAGTGTCGTCTCCACACGTTACAGCACTGAACACACTTTTCCTCCTCCAGTAGCCGCTGTGCACTGTGTGAGGGGGCAGTGCTGGCCGGTAGGCGGGCAGTAAGGACTGTGTTACGAGATTGAGTCATCCTGTAACAAAGGAAAAGGGCTGGAATTCCAACGAGGCGTTTCAGGCAGCTGAGAAAAGTGGGTTCTGTGGGAGAGAGTCTCTCCCTCCGGAGGGAACGCTGAGCTCTGGGACTCTGCAGAACGTTTACATGCACAAAAAGACACAACACAATAAAGGAAAGAGGAAAAACTGGAAAAGTATAATAGGTTTCCTTTAACGTACGGAGACCACCGTGATGACCAGATGAGCACTTTGTCTAAACACACACTCACACACACACTCACACACACACACACACACACACTTACACTCTCACACTCACACTCACACACACACTCACACTCAGCTGTGAAGTTGTTTTGGACACTGACGGTGCTGTGTGTGTGTGTGTGTGAATGTGAGAGTGTGTGTGAGTGTGTGTGTGTGAATGTGAGAGTGTGTGTGAGAGTGTAAGTGTGTGTGAGTGTGAGAGTGTAAGTGTGTGTGAGTGTGAGAGTGTGTGTGTGTGAGAATGAGTGTGTGTAACAGTTTTTTCATTGTGCGAGTGCAGAACATGATCACCTGATGTATGTATCATGTAGTGTATATTTCATATATATCATATACACAGTCAGTCAGTTTGCGTAGCCTGAGACGTGCTGCATGTAGGTTGGGTTTAGCCGACTTGTTGCCTGGTTACCGGATGAAAATCACTTCGTAAACTGTGAAAAAAGTGTGATAAGTACGTGTAGAACTAGTACCAAACTAGAACCTAAATGCAGCAAATCATTAAAAAATAGGTATTAAAAATAGATGAATAATAAAATCGACTTGTGGGCCAGATTTAAGTCGAAAGTTTAACACGTGAGGGTCCGTATGAAGCTGCCTATGGGCCGCTGACTTAGATGGTTACCTCCCCAGTGTGGTTTTAATATAAGGCCCACCACAATCACTATATAGAGCAATATAATCTCAGTACTGCTGTTTTGTTTATATTGTACATTTTGTCCAGATCGTACTTAAATGTGTGTGTGTGTGTGTGTGTGTGTGTGTGTGTGTGTGTGTGTAGGTTGGGCTACATCGATCATGCAGAAGAGCTCGCCTCCAGGTTCCTCCAGTGCTTCCCTAAGAAACGCCTCTCAGCCCAGGCGGCTCTGCACCACGAATACTTCAGCCATCTACCAACCAGACTGTGGGAGCTCCCGGACAGTGAGTACAGCACTCAGCCCTCCACCAGCCACACTGTGGGAGCTACAGGCAGACCAGTGCATCCATAGCTACCCTGGTGGTCTCATACTAGCCAGGTGGTCTTCTCCAAAGGGGGCTAGTTGACAAAATGCAGGGAAAAGTGTCCAATATATTTATATACACTCATTAAAGTGTCTCTTAATTAGTATTGTTATTATTATTAGTAGTGTAAATACCTAAAACAATAATAATAACAGTAATAAGTATCAGTATTATTATTGCTGTTATTATTACTGTTCTAGGCATTTATACTACTGCTACTAATCCACATTACTCTTATTATTATAACAGTAATAATACTTGTTACTGTTATTAGAAACAGCAGTAATACTGTTATTATTGGTAGTAGTGTAAACACTTACAATAATCATAACTGTAATAATAATAACAGTAATAATAATAACAGTAATACTTATTACTGTTATTAGTAGTAGCATAAATATCTAGAGTGTGTAATAAATATTTTAGTGCTTAAATCACTCAAAACAAGGAAATCAAGTATCAAATCGTTTAAATGAAGTAAACGTACATTTTCCAGTAGAATACAGTGGATGGGACTCTTATTTTGATAGCATTATCGTTCCTGCTGAGCATGAGTGACGTGTTGAGCAGTTGAGTCTGCATTCTAAGTATATTGTTTGATCATGTCATTCATGTCTGACCTGTGAGGCGCTGGATCTCCAGCTGCGCCCTGAATGAATCCACAGAGGCAGGTTTAACCAACTATCATCCTAAATTAGAGTAACGGCTGAGTTAACCGTGGCTAAATGACGTCGTGGTCAGTGCGCAGCGTCTTAACATCAGAACCAGTCTGAGCTGATTTTGTAGAGCCGTTGGGGAACCGATGTGGGGAGGGTGAAGCAAATCAAGACAAGGCAAGTTTATAGAGCATCTTTTACATGCTGAGGTCAATCAAAGTGATTCCCAAATGAGTAAATATAAAGATAATTCAAACGTGTAAAAAGATGTAGGAGAATAGAAACTAAAGGCGTGATTAAAACAACAGATTTAAAAGAAAAGAAATAAACATTAAATTAATCAGATTAAAGCTGAAATGATGATGACAGAGCGGCGTTAGAGGAGAGAAGAGCAGCAGAGCTAACAGCGTTTAAACGGAGCTGAAAGCTGCTCTGGCTGGTTTAAAGTGTCCAGTGTCGGCTCTTCTAATGCTCTCTGTCCACTGGGTCCATTTAAGAGCAGCAGAGTGTCTAAACGCTGCTTCTCCATGTTTAGTCTTCACCTTCAGCAGGACTGACTGATCGGTTCCTAATGATCTGAGAGTTCTGCTCGGCTCAAATCGCTGCAGCAGGTCAGATAAATACCATCAGATCTAAATATTTGGCCACAGAAAAACGAGAAACAATGATTTGAAGGCTGGATGAATTATAAATATGAGAAAGGACATATGAAGCTGGCCGAAGCCGGATGAGGCCTGTGGGCCGATAGTTCGAGACCCCTAACATGTGCCGCTTTTCCACCACATAGTTCGGCTCAAGTCTACCCTCGTTTGGTAACAGCTTCTTCGTTTTCCACTGCGGATGTAGCGCCCCTTCAGTGTAGCTTGTCGTCATGGCGATGCCACGACACTGCCGAGACATGAAGGAGACAGATGTTGTTCAGAAGAGGCAGCGAGACAAAAGACTGCTGACAAAAACAGGAGAGTTTGGTAAAAAGTACATCAGAGCTCAGACAACGAGACGATTCCTGTGCTCCGAGGCGACACGAGGCTACGCTGACCTGGTAGCTCACATTCACTAAAGACTAGACCTGAAGCCCTCGAGATAAAGAGGCGGACGCTGGTCTGTCGTCTCAGCTCGGTCTTTTTCACCTTTGAAAAGGTTAGGCTAGTAGTGTTAGCTGAGGGGACTGACCATTAGCATTTCGTCCCCTTGGAATTGTAAGGTTCTGTCTGTGTTCTGAGCAGTTCTGAGATATTGAGCTTCAAAGATTCTGCATTCCAGATAGCAGAACTGACACGTGGAACACGTCTCTTCAATACATGACAGTGACAGACACCCTAAATACATTCTACATGGATATAATATCAAAATTTGTAAATGAGTAAATGAGTTTTTGGAGCAGGTCAAATGCAGATAGAACCTTCTAATCCTAAGAACCCACTTTCTGATTGGAGTAATAAGGTTCTGTCTGACAGAACATTATTAGAAGCACACAGTTCATACTCATAATTTGTTTTAAAACTAAAATATTAGTGTACCAGTCTCTACGTGTTTCATGTATATCAGAAACTGATTGGTCCTCTTGTGTGTGTTCAAAGTGCTGATTGGCTCACAGAGAGAACCTTAAAGAACGAAGTTAGAGTTTGATTTTGGAGACGGAAGCTTTTTGTTTTCTAGATAAAGAGTCAAAAAATGCAGACAACTAAAAAAACACCTCACATACACCTCAAATAAGCGAGTCCGGGTGTTAGTCTGCGTGTTAGTCTGCGTGTTAGTCCGGGTGTTAGTCTGCGTGTTAGTCCGGGTGTTAGTGTGAGTGTTAGTGTGAGTGTTAGTGTGAGTGTTAGCCTGTGTCTTAGTCTGCGTGTTAGTCCGGGTGTTAGTGTGAGTGTTAGCCTGTGTCTTAGTCTGCGTGTTAGTCCGGGTGTTAGTGTGAGTGTTAGCCTGTGTCTTAGTCTGCGTGTTAGTCCGGGTGTTAGTGTGAGTGTTAGTGTGAGTGTTAGCCTGTGTCTTAGTCTGTGTGTTAGTCCGGGTGTTAGTGTGAGTGTTAGTGTGAGTGTTAGCCTGTGTCTTAGTCTGCGTGTTAGTCTGGGTGTTAGTCTGGGTGTTAGTCCGGGTGTTAGTCTGGGTGTTAGTCCAGGTCTTAGTCTGCGTGTTAGTCTGGGTGTTAGTCTGGGTGTTAGTCTGGGTGTTAGTCCGGGTGTTAGTCTGGGTGTTAGTCCAGGTCTTAGTCTGCGTGTTAGTCCGGGTGTTAGTCCGGGTGTTAGTGTGAGTGTTAGTGTGAGTGTTAGCCTGTGTCTTAGTCTGCGTGTTAGTCTGGGTGTTAGTCTGGGTGTTAGTCTGGGTGTTAGTCCGGGTGTTAGTCTGGGTGTTAGTCCAGGTCTTAGTCTGTGTGTTAGTCTGGGTGTTAGTCCGGGTGTTAGTCCGGGTGTTAGTGTGGGTGTTAGTCCGGGTCTTAGTCTGTGTGTTAGTCTGCGTGTTAGTCTGCGTGTTAGTCTGCGTGTTAGTCTGGGTGTTAGCCTGTGTCTTGGTCCGGGTCTTAGTCAGGGTCTTAGTCTGCGTGTTAGTCTGCGTGTTAGTCTGGGTGTTAGTCTGGGTGTTAGTCCAGGTGTTAGCCTGCGTCTTTGTCTGGGTCTTAGTCTGAGTGTTAGTCTGGGTGTTAGTCTGAGTGTTAGTCTGCGTGTTAGTCTGGGTCTTAGTCTGTGTGTTAGTCTGGGTGTTAGTCTGAGTGTTAGCCTGCGTCTTTGTCCGGGTCTTAGTCTGAGTGTTAGTCTGCGTGTTAATCTGGGTGTTAGTCTGAGTGTTAGTCTGCGTGTTAGTCTGGATGTTAGTCCGAGTCTTAGCCTGGGTCTTAGTCTGGGTCTTAGCCTGGGTGCAGTGCTGGGGCTGCTGTAGTTGCAGTGTTTGCAGTGCAGTCGTGTACAGACTGCAGCAGCTCATTTAAATATGAGAATGAGATTTTTAATTATGCAGATTAGCATTTAATCCCCTTATCAGCTCACAGCAGGCTGCGGCGTGAGACATGGCAGGGGGCGGGGCGAGGCGGCAGGGGCGGAGCCGCGTGTGTCAGACCTCAGGACACATCGCGGAGCTTTAGAGGCAGAACAATGAGTGGAAATGAGCTCTGTTGTTCAGTAGGAGCTCAGAGTTATTATACAAAGGAAAACAGATGAGCTTTATGGGATCAAAACTCCAGCTCAGCCAGAAACCTTCTAGACTAACAGGGGATTTTTATGAGCTGAGATGTTGGAACATTTTTTTCCAGCAGTGTAGACGCCGTGTAGAGTTTGACGTCATGATGCGGAGCTTTTGAAATGCGCAACTACCAGAAAAATATGGCAGCATCGGTTTAAGGAACTGAAAACGTCGGAGGCAAACAATTCCGATGCATCCGACAATTTGGAACCGGTTCTCAACTGGAGAGTGAGTGATTCCCATCCCTAGACCCGTTGCAGCTCCCAGAACTCCCCTCCTGCTGAATTGTGTTCCGTTCATTTTCTGAGTTATTTCTTCCCAAATTCTTTGTGAATCTTTTATGTCAGAGTGGAATAAAGTAAGACAAGTTTGTTTATACATATAAGTTATATATCAGTATATCAAGTATATGTTATATGTAAGTTATCAAGTGTTGTCTATTATATACGATAGTAGTATTACAGTGTAGTATTAATGGTAAAATGTCGCTAGTAATGAGTTTTTTATTGGGAGCTTTTCTTACAATGTTTTTCTCTTCAAAATATCACTTGACAACACACGTTTGACCCAAGACAACACATGTTTGACCCAGGACAAAACACATGATCAACATGTGACTGTGCACGTTTGACCCAAGACAACACATGTTTGACCCAGGACAAAACACATGATCAACATGTGACTGTGCACGTTTGACCCAAGACAACACACATGTTTGACCCAGGACAAAACACATGATCAACATGTGACTGTGCACGTTTGACCCAAGACAACACACATGTTTGACCCAGGACAAAACACATGATCAACATGTGACTGTGCACGTTTGACCCAAGACAACACATGTTTGACCCAGGACAAAACACATGATCAACATGTGACTGTGCACGTTTGACCCAAGACAACACACATGTTTGACCCAGGACAAAACACATGATCAACATGTGACTGTGCACGTTTGACCCAAGACAACACACATGATTGACTCAGGACAAAACACATGATCAACTATGACAGTACAGGTTGTTGTTGCAGACCTCCTGACTCTCCATCTTCATCATCTTCCTTTTCCCTACAATCCCAGTCTGTTATTCACCACAGACACCACCCCATGTCTGTGTGTTTTAGGTCAGGTTTGAACTCTTTTTGTTTATTTTTCTTTCAGTGTCTCCGATCTTCACAGTGCCGAGTGTGAAGCTGCAGCCTGAATCAGGCGACTCCATCCAGATCTGCAGCAAAACCAACAGCAAAGGAGGGTCCAGCAGCAGCAGGCACTGACCGGCAGGGGGACAGCCAGGTAACACGAGTTTATAGAAACCAGGGTTTGTATAGAGTAGTCGGATACTGTACTACAGTGGGTGCTGTAGTTGAGGACAGTGTCTGAAATACAGTGGAGGTAAAAACTGAAGATGCAGCAGGAGAGAACAGTGTGTCGGCCCGGTCTACAGTCAGACCCCTAACAGAAGATCAGAGTGGGCTCTCTCCTCAGACCTGTTGGCAGACCGAACACCGGACACTTTTTAACCAGTTAACCAGCTCAGGTGTATTTTTATTTCCCTAAAAGATCTCAAAGACAAGAGGCTGAACGGGATGGGAAGGTTGCCATGACAACTAACACAACCGTACATTGATGTTTATAAATGCTTATTCCGATCCGACGTCATCTGTCATAAAGGCTGCTTTAGCTAACTTTTAGCAAACATAATATAATATATATATATCGCTGTTGTCGGAACAAAACCTCGTATCTCCAAAATGGTAACTTTACAGGAGAAGGAAAAAACATACTTTACTTTTAATGTAAGTCAATGGAACCAGACGGCTTTCCAAGTCATTTTTGGGCCATTTATTTTGGTCCATCCATCATGAACTTTACACACAATATAAAAGCCAACATGCATTTTCAAATTATGTCAAAAACTGAAAATCGACAAAAATGGAGATACGAGGTTACGAGGAGATATATATATATATATATATGTGTGTGTGTGTGTGGTGTGTGTGTGTGGGTATATATAACATAGTAATATAATATAGTGAATTATGCCTATTGGAATAAGCATTTATAAACATTATGTGAGTTGTCATGACAACCTTATGTAGCCTTATGAACAGCACACTACAGTAAAGTGCTACCAAGTAAAGCGTTACTGATTCTTGCTACTTTTTTCTGCATTAATAGTCGCATTCATTCTAATGTTATTCTATGTTTTTATAAGCAAAATCACACTAACTGCCCAGATGAACCGTTTTAGGCAGATTATTTGAGTGTCTTCTGCGCAGGACTGTACGTTGTTAAAGGTTTATTCTTCGTGAAGTGAATGCTCTAAAAACAAGATCAAAAATTAGACCAATCGTGACATTAAAATCGAAGGACAAAGCAAATCAAATTTTTTCAAATTTAAATTGTTGCACCCCTAGTTCAGAGGGTTCAGACTCAGACGCCCCATGTCTGTCTCTCTCTCTCTCTCTCTCTCTCTTTCTCTCTGCACCTGTCTGCAATTTAGCTGCTAATCCCTCAGTAATAGTGCTGATAGGGGCCTCAGTCTCTCTCTCTCCCCCCATTAGCTGGTATGTGTCTGATCCCCCAGTCAAACCCCTAATTAGATGCAAATAATGCCTCTTTATGAGAAATGAAAATGACCTCAGAGCTCTGGATGAAGCTGGAAAGGCCCGACTGCAGACGGTGTTTTGGGAGATAAATAATGCTGGTGTGATTATCAGGAAGTGAGTCCATCCCTGACCATGTTGTGAGAAAGAATCCGTTACAACTTCAGGTTTTTCCAGAAGCAGTGTCTAAACCCCCCCTGGTATTCGGGGGTCCCATGTTGTCTGTCTGCTAACTCTCTCTCCATAGCGGCACTGAGGCTTCAGTGTCAGTAAATGTTTGTTTTATCAGCTGTTCCTCTGTAGAGTCTCTGTTCTAGTGCGGTTCTGCACTCTTCCTCACAGTAACTGAGATCTTCCTCGTCTCCTCTTCTGTCTTCAGTGTGAGAAATGAGGAACAGTCACTCTTCACTCCAAACTCTTGGGAAACTGGGCGAGTTTTCAGATTTACAGATCTGCTGCAGCTCATTGTAAAGTGTTTCAGAGGAATCCGGGCAGAGTTACAGTTTCTAGGCTAGGAAGGACCAACTGGGTGAACCAGTCTGCTACAGCGCCACCCTGAGGCAGAGCAGAGCTGCAGCTCTAGTTAGTTAAGAACACCAGAGACAGAAGCTGGTTGTGGGGGAAGCAGAGAAACAATCAGTTTCACTGAGTCTGGATTTGAGCGTCTGATTTTTACTAACAGACGAATAATATCATAAGTTTTTTAGGGACCCCAGAGCTTTAATTGTGAGACATTCAGGGGGTCCAAGAGGCTAATTAAGAAGTAATTAACAGTAACTGTGTATAAAAATGTCCTAAAAGAGTTCAGAGATCCAACAGAACTGAAGTTCTTTCAAAAATATAAAAAAAATATATAAATGAATTGCTTTCTGAAAAAATGAAGTATAATTACAATAAAATGAGTCTTACTCTGTCTAACTACAAGTCTTTAACTACAAACCTAACTACTATTCTTTAACTACAAGTCTTTAACTACAGGTCTTTAACTACAAGCCTAACTACAAGTCTTTAGCTACAATTCTAAATACTATTCTTTAACTACAAGTCTTTAACTACAGGTCTTTAACTACAAGCCTAACTACAAGCTTAACTACAAGTCTTTAACTACAATTCTAACTACTATTCTTTAACTACAAATCTGTAACTACAGGTCTTTAACTACAAGCCTAACTACTAGTGTTTAACTACAAGTCTAACTACTAGTCTTTAGCTACGTCTTTTTACAACTGCAGGGTTTCAACTACAAACCCTTCTACAAGTTTCCACTACAACACTTATTACACATGTATCTCTGGCTACAAGTTTCAGTACAACTACAAGCTTCATTACAAGAAATCTTCAACTAGAAGTCTTATTGCATCTACAAGTTTTCAGCTACAAGTTTAATTATATCTTCGTCTTGCTACAACTGGAAGTCTGAAACTACAAGTTTTAAACTAAAAGTATTATTACGACCTCAAGTCTTATTACTTCTAATTACAACTACAAGTTTTTAACAGCTTGTCTTATTAAAACTTGTAACTGAGGTCATGAATCTCACTTCTGATTGTTTGACATCAGTTTAGTTCCAGAATATGGATTTTTATAAAGTTGCATAACTTTCGTTGTGCATTTCAGACGTTATTATGAAGAGGATAATATAATTATCGTAAGTATAATATAATTCCCTTTCTAAAGACAATCAAGCGTAATTTATATAAAATATTTTGTAAAAATTCAAAAACATAATTGCAAAAACCATGTTTGTAGAAAAATAAAACTAAGACGTTGTGGTTTGACAGTTCTTTTAAAGCAGTTCTTCTTCCTGAGTTTATTCGTTGCTGTGTGGTGCTTGTCGAGTTGCCGGTCAGCTCTCGGTGCTGGAGCGGCTCGGGGCTGTCGGTTCAGCGCCGCTCTGAGGGGCTGCACCGATCTATGTTTATTCATGAAGTAGAAGCCGAGCAGGAGAGCAGGAGCTGCATAATTCAACACCGCTGCTGATGCAAGAGCCAACCTATCAACTGCAATGGCTTTGCATGACATTAGCATAAATTAAGGACCCCAGATGATCAATATGAAGAGCAGCGAGTGTCATATGAGTGTTCATATAACTTCATACATGTTTGAACTGTGGGTTGCTGTGGGGGTCTGGAGTTTATGGTCAGGAGTAGAGGTGGGCGTTACGGCTAAATGTTGTACCACGATGCTTCAAGAAGTTTTTACGATACACAATATTTCTTTTTTCCGACATCTGATGAGTTACAACAGACAAAGTAGCCTCACATTTTAAAATACTGTGTTCAGTTATTCGCGCTGCACTAAATCCAATTAAACAGGACTGATTGTGCTCTCTTTGTAATCAGACGTGCAGTCGGGAAGTGACGTGAAGTGCTGATGGTGTCCCGACATGCTCAGAAAAGCACTGCGACATAATTGGCTGCTATTTCAGGATAAGTTGTTCGATAAAGCTGCTCTAAAGTTTGAATATTGGTATCATTGTAAAAGATGTGGTATTGTACCATCTCTAAACGCGGCGATGTGAACAGTCCTGTTATTCTTCGCATGTTTGTGTATGTAAACTCTCACTGTTCTGTCTGAAGTCGATGCGGATCAACACCCCCACAGTCTCGCACACACACACAGCGGAGTGGGGGGGGGGCGGGGTTAGGGGGTTGGGATTGCTGGTAGTTGGCAGCAGCTCTCAGACTGAAACACATCAGAATTGAGGATGAAAGCTGCTTCTGAATCTGCAGACGGACACACAGCGCAGCGTGTGTGTGTGTGTGTGTGTGTGTGTGTGTGTGTGTGTGTGTGCGTGAGCAGCAGCCCACACACTTCTGCTCTTAGAACATATGCTCTCCTCTAATGAGCAGCAGAAGCCCAGAGACGCTCCTCCGCTCTGCTCGTCTCACGCGCAGCACTGCAGCCCGGCTGATATATCGCTGAGCCAATTAAATCGGCCAATATTAACCACATGAACCCTACCAGCCCGGCGCTTGGTCCAAAACAAGAAAAGCTCTCGTTTAAATCTGCTGCTCAGGAGTTATGACTCAGGGCTCTGCCTGAGCAACATTAAAAATCATTCTATCAGGGCTCCCGAGTGGCGCAGCCGTCTAAGCGCTGTCCCTCATCAGGAGATCGCGAGTTCGATCCCTGGTGATGCTACAGCCGTCCGTAGCCGGGAGTCCGAGAGAGCACAATTGGCCTCGCTCTCTCTGGGTGGGTAGGATGGCCCCTCCTTCTCCCCCCATCACTCAGCGCGATGCTAGTCAGCGCAGGCGTCTGTTAGCTGACGTAACAGATCTGGCGGTTGGCGCTTTCCTCCGAGCGCGTTCGGCTGTCCAGTGACGCTGCGTGAGCGGCAGCTCGAAAAGAAGCGGTGGCTTCACAGGTCTCGGAGGAAGCCTGTGTTAGCCTTTGCCCTCCTAGCGTTGATAGCATCGTGTGATTGGGGGAGACTAACTAGCGGGTGGAATTGGAGACGACTAAAATCGAAAATGGACTGGCAGTAGAGGGTCGTACTTAAGAACTTCAAACGTGGCACTGTCGTAGGATGCCATCTCTGCCACAACTCAGTTTGTCCTGCTAGATCCGCCCCAGACAACTGTAAGTGCTGTTATTGTGAAATGGAAGCGTCTAGGAGCAGCAGCAGCTCAGCCGCGACGCGGCAGACCACGCAAACCTACAGAGCAGGACCGCTGTGTAGCA